GAAAAATTTTAAAACACAACCATTTCACTACTGCAGGTGAACTTAAGGCAAAATTAGAAGAAAAAGATCCTGAACTTGAGGTTAGCGAATGTACAGTACGTCGTGAACTTAAAAACCTTGGATATATTTCTGTTATGTCAAGAAAAGTTTCTCTCTTAACCCAAAAAGCGAAGGATATTAGATTGTTTTGGTCATGTGATCATTTGCGTTACAACTGGAAAAAAGTTGTTTTTTCTGATGAAACAACACTCCAGATGTTTAGAAATACTATTCGTGTATAGTCCCATGATGCTCAACCAGTTGCTCCTATGGTAAAGCATCCATTCAAGGTTCATATTTGAGCAGCGATTAGTGTCAAAGGAAAAGTTGGCATTCATTTGTTTACTGAAAATTTAGACCATTATTTGTACTGAAACATCCTAAACGATCATTTGTATGACAATGCGACAGCATTACTTAATTGCAACTGGGTCTTCCAACAAGACAATGATCCAAAACACGTCTTACGAGACATTCAGAGTGACTTGAAAAAACATCTTCTAGGAAGAGTTCTTTCTTGGCCTTCATACAGCCCAGACTTGAATCCTATCGAAAATGTATGGGCTGTATTAAAAGGAAAGGTGAAGAAAAGGATTAAGAATATGGTGGTAAAAATAAAAAATTACCTGTGATGTTTTCCTTAATACAATCTGACAGGAATGGGATGATCTCAATGATGGTGTGTTACTTCAGTGCATTAATAGCATGCTGAATCGGATTCAAGCATGTATCGATGCAGAAGGAGAGCACACAAAATATTAATTAAGTATTAAAAAATGTTCCGTTAGTATTATTCTTTTAAATAAAAAAATAAAAATAAACATTAAAAATAAAGTTTATACATACCGTTGAAAACTGTCTCCACTATTCTTTTCGCTGAGGATTGTATATTAAAAAGATAGAGTTATAGTAGAATCTAAACAAGAAGATTTATTAAAAATTTTTCAAAATCTAATTCAAATAAATAGAAATGAAGAAAATAAAATAAAAAATAAATTAACTGCTTACCTTTTTTTACCTTTAAAATTAAATACTAATTCATTATTATGGTAAAAAACTAATATATCTTGTAACTCTTATAGTAGCAGATTATTTTACATTATAATCCACTAGTATTTCTTATGAGCATACTTTTTCTATGCAAAGTATAATATAAGCTTTACTAGGAATTGCCATCTTAAATAGATAACAAGAGCTTCATTATGTTTAAAAACTAATTAAGAAAAAAAATTTTAGAATAAATAAGAAGTTAGTAAAAATAATTAAAAAAAATAAATAATCAATACTTTTTATATATATATATTTATCTTTTTAAATAAAATACAGATCAAATGAAGAGCTATCAGGTGATTATTGGTTATCTAATAGTCCTCTTTTTTTTAATCAAATCCAGTTTGAAAGAAATCTGATAATTTTGCATGATTTCTAACCAGTTTTTGGTGATAATCAGAAATAATTCATGGGACTTTTAGGTTGGGATAATTCAGGTAAGTATTATATGAATTTAGGACAAATATCAGAAGGAACATCAGGTATTCTTATATAACCTGATATGTATATAATTTTTCGATAAATCAAGTATATATCATTTTTATATAGAGTTTGATGTTTAATTTATATATCAATATAGATAATTAATTTCATGTAATATGCTAACTTTATTTAATATTATGTAATAAATAACATTTTAAAATAAAATAAATATTATACAATTCATTGTTCTATTACTATATCTATTGTTGTAATATGCTATTAATAAATGATATGCTATTGATAATTATATTGTTAAACACTATTAATTAAACACAACGTTCTACATATATAAAAAATAAACAATTAATTATAAACGAAAATAAATTACAATTATTAGTAAATAAACACAGTTCTATTCAGATCAGTATTAAGACAAAATGGTCCATTTCGAAGTATTGAAAGGTGGCTTAGAGTTGTCTACGTATGTATTATCATCATACTACCTTTTCTTTGCAACTTTGATGTTTTAGGTAGTTTCTCCTATGGAATCTGCGTACTATAAGAATTGTCAAACCTAATAAAAAATTTAGATCATATTCAATAATTGTCATTAATAAATTTATAATATTACATACTATCAATAATTATTAATGCTAAAATCAGTGTCTTACCTTTTGCGATCTCTATTTCTTGTTATATACATGAATAATATGATTTGAATTTTCATTTCTGAATGGACGAATCTTCTTATCTTTCTCTTCTTGTGCTAGAAAAGAAAGTGATTAATACTTAATCAATAGAGCATTAATAACTATATACAATAAAAATGCGTTACCTTTTTTATTATCTGATTTGAAAATTTCATCTAAGTGATAACTAGAATCATCAATGACCTTTTTCAGGTCCTTAATCCAATCGTTCCATTTCATTGAAGGTTGTAAATCTGTTAGCATTTGATCATTAGTATCTAGCATATATTGTAGTTCTCTTTTTTACTAATACTTTTTCTTGTAATAAAATATAATAATAAATATTAATAATAAAAAGTCCTCTATTAAACAAAACAAAATTTTGAAAAAAATGTAAAACATTGATTCTATATAAAGTTATTCTTAAACCATATGATACTTACATCTTTTCGTCTACTATTTACACTAACTCTTTGCTTGTTTGCCTTGAACTTTAAAGGATTTAATGAAATTATATACGCATCTCTTCTATAGCGATGAAGGTTCTGTAGAACCTTCTTCATTTCTGTGTCAATATATTGGAATCTATCTCTGAGTACCTCTTTATAGCCAGTATCATATTTTGAATAATGTACACTTCGATTTCAGTCTAACATTTTTCATGATCTAACCTTAAAGAGTCATCCAAATCCTTTAAAATTTAGACGACATTATTTTACAATAGATAAAAAGTATTAATTAAATTAAACATATTTACACGATACTAAACTAACCATTAAAAGACAACAATCAATCAAGTACTCATATTAACATGAAAAGCCTTTTTATAATTGTTATTCATAGGTTCCAAATTATTTCAGGTTTTTTTTAAAATTCCTGTTAGCTAAAAAGTCAGGAGATAATGAAAATATTCTTATTTGACTCTTATTTTTGTAATGAAGTTCTCTTACTTTCTCAATCAATTCTGAGACGGTTGAACGTAACTCCATGATTTCTTATTGAAATAACAAATTGTAATAAATCTTTTTATTAATATTCAATATTTCTTACCATAAAAAATTATTATCTTCCTGATTTCTAATTTCTCTACTTTCACTACTTTAACTTCTTTTTTCCCCTCTAACATTTCTATAATCCTTACTAACACTTCTTTCTTTTCTTCTTCTTTCTCGGTCTCTGCCTCTCCTTTTTAACAAATTAGAAGTACGACTTCATTCTCTGCCTCTTCTTTCTAATTATATAAGAATACGTAAAGTTCAGCTTCTACCTCTTACATGTAAATGCCTTTTACTTCTATATAAACCTTCTCTGTATAGTGATACTTCCTTATTGTATAATGACATTTCTCTTGAATTTCCTTACTTCGATAGATTTTATAATTTTATAAACTAATAAAATCGTTAATATATAAGTTTTATTTTTAACAAATCAGATATAACCAATATAATAACCTATATTTAGAAGTTTGTATATTAGATACTTAGTAAAAGAAAGTTGCTATGATATAATATTTTTTCTTAATTTTTTTTCTTTGTCTCTGAAAAGAAATTCATTCAACTTAAAGTCATGTCATGTTTAACTATTTATACATTAAATAGACTTCATGATCTCTGAAAAGAAATTTATTCAACTTAAAGTTGTGTTATGTTTAACTATTTATACATTAAATAGACTTCATGATCAAATCTATATTTAGTAAAAAGTCATATATTAAATTATTAGTATATCGGATTAGCTATATTAAGTAAAAATACAATATAAAAACTTACAATGTCATTTTTAAAAATTTTCAATCATTTTCAAATTGATGTAATTAATAATGTCTTTGAATAAAAGTAACAAAACTTCTTTGTATATTTCTCCTTCCTAAACCTGAAAACATATACCATATTATTGTCAAGCTTGTAATGGAAAATTGGTAGACCCTAAAACCAAATCAGCCTATTCTAAAAAAAGCATTATGCCTATTGTATCTCAAGGGAAATTAAAGAATCGACTAATCTATCTCCATCTGTTACTCTGTTATCTCCTTTAGAAGATCTTATAGATATTAGTGATGAAGAATCACAAAAATCGTATGAAGAAAGCTATTCATTTTTAGTTAGAAGAATGTCAGTTATCTCTCAGAAAAAAAGGAAGTCTGAAATCTTGATTCTGAAAGTAGTAGGTGAACTATTTTCTAATGGTGATAGTGATAATGGTGATGATGTATTTGAAGAAGACAATAAAAGAACCTTGAAGATGATGCTTTAGAAAACTCCTCAGATGATTCAGATGAAGATTTTCAATTGAATTTTGATATACCAGAAACTGAATCAGGAAAAAATGATTTTAAGTACACTAAAAAAAGCTTTGATGATGCATTTTCATAGATTGTAATATGGATTTTGAAATACCAGGAGAGGTTTCAACTATCTAATATGGTCACAAATTCCCTCTTTAAGTTTTTTCATTATGTTCTTATAAATATAGACAAAAAATTATTCTCTGCTTTTTCCACTTCTCTATATGTAGCGCAAAAGAATCTTGATATTTGTACCTATCTAATTAACTATGCGAACTGTGAAAACTGTTGTAAGTTATATAATATTGCTGATGTATCTAGTGATAGTCCTAAAATTACGCTTAAAATCACTAAGTGTATATTCTAAGAATTCCTGAATCATCTAATAAATAATAAACGAAATGCCTGTAGAAGAATTTTATACAAATGTGTTAGTACAATGAATGGAATAATCAAAAAGCCAAGTTCAATATTTCTTACTATCAGTTTAAAATACCAGTTGAATCTCTTATTTAAAAGAAAAGAATTTGAAGAATCTTGTAGAAAGTGGGTTAATCGTTCTTCTGACTCAGAGATTCTTGCTGATATATATGATGGGAGAATATGAAAATCTTTTAAAGATGAAAATGATTCAATCTTTTTTCAGCCAAACTTAGTGAATATTCATATTGGAATAATGCTTAATATAGACTGGTTCTAGTCCTTTGAAAATTCTCAATATAGCATAGGAGCAATCTATGCTATAATATGCAATATATCTCGTAATGAATGATTTAAGCCATCTAATATATTAATGTTAGTAATGATTCCAGGTCTAAAGGAACTAAAACTACACTAAATAAATCATTATTTAACCCCTTTAGTTAATCAATTAGTTGAATTATAGCGGGGAATAGAATTACTAGAAACTTTTAAAAATCCCAATGGAAAAATGATCAGAGGACTATTATTTGCTGTACTTGTGATATACCTGCAGCAAGGAAACTATATAGGTGTATATCTGCGAAATTGCATGTTACCGATGTCTTAAATATGCTAATTTCAATGAAAAAACCAGCTGAATTTTGGAGGATTGGTTGATATGGATAGCTGGTTTATAGAAAGAAATGTTGAAGAGGTTAAAAAAATGCTTTTGAATAGAAAAACTGTAAAATAGATTAGCAAAGATAAAAACATATATCAGAAACCTTTGTACGATAGTCTGAAATACATTGCTTATTTTACTTTAATCTCATACAATTTCTAATTATAGATCCTATGCATTATCTTTTTTTTAGCATTGCAAAGTGGATTGTGACGAGACTATAGATTGAAGAAAAAAAGCTCATCCCATCTGATTTTGCAATTATGCAAAAGAGAACTAACCAAATACAAGTACTAACTGATATTGGTAGGCTTCCAAGTAAGATAGACACAGGAGAAGGTTTTTCCAGTTTTTCTGCAGACCAGTAAAAACATTCATATTAATATATATAACAACCATTACTTGAGATCTCTTGAAAGAAGCTGACCGAAAAATTCTGGCAAATTTTGTCTATACTTATAACATTTTAGTATTGTGACAGATAAAATTTTAGATAGATTTAATTGGTAGAATAGGAAGTCAATTTTATTGCCTTTAATAATCACGTAGATCATAGATGTCTATTTAGTTACCTACAGATCTAGCAATTTTATTGATACGGCAACTTTATTGCCTAGTAAAATGGCAACCTTATTTCCTTTGATATATTTAGTTTAGTTTATTTTATTATTTATTCAACATGTATAAATATTTTTGTATTTTCTTTGAGTCTCAGCACCAACGAGATCTTAATCTTTTAGGTACTGAACTTATATATTATCAATAAAGGAGTATAATTAACCAAGTATAAAATTTATTCTTCACAAACTCTTTGAAACTGTTATATATTATCTGTGATCCTTTGCATTCGTGCAATCTCTTTTGTTATATAACTTATTATATGATATTGTATTGATTTGCTGTATTGACTTGGAGTCTCTGAAGTATAATCTCTAAAATATCTTTGAGTTATCTTTGTGTCTATTTTGTGTTTATCTTACGTGTTTATTATTGAGAATAATTCTTTAACGTTATTGTGAATTCTCACCCGTGATTCCTTGAGTAATTGTTTTAGTTTTATTTACTTCTTTTGAGATTTTATTTGAAGTTATGAAAACTAACGTAATAGTATGTAGAATAGTATCAAAAAATGATCTAATAGAAGCCCATCAGCGTTTAGTAGAAATGGTTAAAAAATTGAACGAACATACGAACCTAAAAAAATTTCTTCAAAATTACATCTATATATGTATTTATGTGAATGCATGTTGGATTATGATTCTTTGTATGCCTTTTGGTATTACTCAATGGAAAGGATGAACGGATTATTAGGTAATTATCTTATTAATATTATTGTTTGATACTAGTATTTACTGAATATCTAAATACTTTAGGATCATTTAATAATAGCTATAGAAAGATCGAACCAGAGCTTATGAAAGTCATTCAAAATAATACTCTTTTGGATGAATTAACATCTCACATTGAACAGAACTGGCATTTTCAAGAAAATCTTGAAATATTAAAACTGAAAGATTTAGTTGGAAGTCTTTCTATGTATAATGAATATTCTGATGAAGAATATTGAACATTCCGTCTACTATCAACAAAAATAGAAGAAGATGCAGCTTATGGTTTTGAACTATTTCCAGGCTCTTTTCTAGGCCCATTAAAACAAAATATGACACTGCAACAAGAATTTCAAAAGTTATTAGCTGATTTTTATTGTAACACATACAATAAAGACTTTGTTACGTTATCATGAATTTATAATGCTTCAAATTCTTCTATTCCTGTTGATCTAAATATTAATCAATTTAGCCAATTAAGAATTGGAATAGAAGTGTTTAGGTCAACCTTATCTTCTCAACATGTCAAATCAGCAAAAATATTGGCCCGTTTGATGATAATTCTGACGTATACCATAGTCAAATCCAGTTCTATTTTGAACACTCAGTTCATCTACCAGAGGAAAAAACACATTATTAGCATTCATTAGATGGTATAAACCATCTGAAAACCACAATATTAGATTCTACTGCAAAATAGATAATGATAAATTCTGCAACATTGAGTTATAGATATCAGAATTCTATGAAGTTGGAAGAGATTGTATTATTCCTATCCACAATATTTTATGTCAATTTATTTCAGGAAGTTTTGAAGTCGATCAAAGAAAACTAAAAAAGTACATGTCAATTATTCCAATAAATAGAAAATTTCATATTTGATTATTAATAGTATGTGCGTTTTTATTTTTCGAGAGAGAGTTTTTTTATTATGAGAGATTTTAATATTACATTTTATTTTAATTTAGGTTTTGTATTACGTTCTAATATATTAATTGGATTAATTAAGTAATACATTTTCAATTATAAGATTATTAGCAAATTATGAGATAATCATAGATTGTAACTAACTCTTAATTAATACGACAATAAATATATATTATTGATTAAAAAAATTAGTTGGATTGTAAAATATAATTGTTCTATTTTTTTAATAAAAAATATAAATCCAAAAACTTTAATAAAAATTACTATGTATTAACCGATCTAGTGCAGTAAATCAAAAAGCTATCGGGTATCTGATAGGATAATGAATTTCTAGAACACAGGATCTATCAGATTATCCTATAAAATTCTAGACTTATCTGATTTTTCTTTATAATATCGGGTCCTATATTTAAATATCATGTGATAACAATTATATCGATATTTACCTGATGTGACTATATCAAGTTTTGGCAAATATTGATTCCTGATTTATCCCGATATTTGTCTAAAACTTGATAACCTGATACTTCTTTATTCGATCTGTGAAATATTCAAATAAAATTTAAAAATTCAAAAGCTATCAAAAAAATTACTGATATTAATCAGTAAATGATATTACAATTTAATAAAGTTTTAAATTTAACTAAGATTTAATTTTTAAAGTTGAATAGAAAATACTTGACTTTTAACATTTTTACTATTATTCCTAATATTTTGAAATGATTAAGTCAACTCAGATTGTTTAACTTGACTCAAATTTTTTATCGAGTTAGAACTATTATATTTATAATATAAGTTCTAATTCAAAAAATCTGCTAAGTTAAAGTCACATTTTTGCTTGACTAGAGTCAATATGGATTAACTCAAATGATTTAGATAATTAAAAGATCTGATTTAAATATTATCTCATTAGACATTTTTTATGTTATGTAACTTTAATTTATAATAAATAAATAATAAGTATACCTATTGATACTTAACTTTTAGAAAATGAAAAGCATTGTAAAGTGAACAATTACAAGCAGGTAAAATAAAATTATCAATTTTAAATATTAACTAAATTATATAAAATCTTTGATAATAGAAAAATAAGAACCTATTAGAAAAAATCAATTTTACTTCTATACTATTTTTATTTTTTCTAACTGATTTTTTCTTTTCTATTGCAAAGGTCTCATATTTTTTATAAAATAATAAGTATTTTAATATAGTATAATAAGTTTTTCTGGCAAAACTTATCTGATACTAATTAAAAGATGTGATTTTAAAGCTAATACAATTTGCCTGTATGTATTTAAAATTTTGAAAAAAATTGCAAAAAAAAAGAATTAGAATTAATTTTTACAAAAAAAATTAATAAATTTTAAAAATAAAATAAATTTTAAATAATACTTATTTATTTACAATATTAATATAAAATATTTATAAATCAAAAAAAAAATGCTAAAAGCTCGTCATATTTTGCTTAATCTAATATATTAAAGGTTATTGCTTTTTATTTTTTGAAATTTAATCAACAAATTCAATTTACAGTTTTTTTAAAATGACACTATGGGTAATTCAAATATAATGATCGATGATTTTTAAAAAAATTTTACATCTTTTCTTTAGATTTCTTTTTGAAATTAGA